GTATGTAATAATTTTTAAAAACATTAACAATTTATGAGCTATTATTTTAAATAAGAAAGGAAAGGAAATATAGAAGGGTGGTGAATGTTTTTGTTTTCCCTTCCTTTTTTTTTTTTTCTTTTTTTTTTTTCAATCTGCAAAATATCATTTAGAATGATTAGATGATATGAATAAAGAATGTAACTTCTGAGTTTTGTTAGATTATAGTATTTCATAGATTACAACAAGTTCAGAAACGATGAAATCCTCTCAGGCAAATTATTGCAATCATTTTATGCTTATCAAAATATATATATTTATTTACAGATCATAAATTTTTATCTTTACATTCTTTAAGCTTGAAAACCTATACCTATAAATTCTAGAATTCTGTATAAACTTCATTGAAAAAAAAAAACCAGTTAATATTCAAATTCCTCAAAGATATTTCAGTTTTTCTTATGAAATCTTTTCTCACACAACAATTTAATATCAGTTTATTATAACTTCGCGAAATTAATTTCCCACATGATTTATAAAGCGAAAGACTAGCCCTAATGAATTTACTGGCTAGGAAATTTACTAGCAGATAAATAAATAGTAGGAAAATGTATTACCGTAGCACTTATTATCCCACAATTTAAAATACGTTAAATTTCATCATTCGCCCCGTAAAAAGTATTAATGGTGGAAAAACGAAGATGAAATGGATAATATATTGTTCAAATAAAGCCAAAAATTGCTTATACAATTTAACCAAAAGTAATTTCTCATTTACAAAATATGGATTCACTTTGGACATTTAAAGATGAAATAAAATTTTCAGCAAAAGAAAAAATATACCGAACATCATTTATTCGTCGCGTACATGACTATACAAAATACATCAAATGTATGAGCATACAGAACGAAAATTAGCTTCCTATAAAAAATCTAAAAATGATGCCACTCAAGACCTATATTGCGATGATCAATTTCATATTGGTTCGCTACTTCTTCCGCTATTGATTGATTAAGCCAGAGATTTTCCAACTTCGCATAAAGTTCGTGACTGAGATGCAATGGATTTCCACGTCTACAATATAAATGTGAAAAGCTTAAAAATTTTAAAGTTAAACTATGTATTCTTTATCATAACAATGAGTCTTAATTTAACCAAATGATCATTTTTGTAACTAATAATATAAAATAATACCGAAATCCTGGATCTGTTTCACCATAGCCATCTACATAGGGCGCTGGAAGTAAACAACCTCGTTCACGTGATGTCAACAGCACTATCTGACTGTCACGAATTCTAAATTTTTATAAGTAGAAACGAAATTTTAACCTTTCTCAAGAAAATCAGATGATAACTATTATCGGCAACATTCGCGATCTATCACTATCTATTACCAAAGCATTAATATTACAAAAATTTTGGGAAAAACACGAATCACTCACCGAAGAAACACACCACCGGAGGATCCAGTACACATTTTTAAATGATAAGAGCAAGCTCCAAGTGTAATACCATTTACCTGCAACTTACCTGCACTTACTTTATACTACAATAATATTCAAAAAGCATACTATCCGGCATTATCAACAAACAATTCTGAAACTTCAATACTGTAGAAAATGATTAATATTAGCTCATATAACTCACTGTACGTTGACAACAGTAACTCTGGGAGCAAAGCAATGAACCACAAAGAAGGCATAAACTTGGTGCCGATGATGAACGATCGTCGATCGGAATAGAAGGACATCTGAAGAGTTTAAACTGGAGATCATCAAAATTTATGCGCCTTTAAACTAAGATTACTGCTGTGAAGTACTTGCTGCTATGTTTCAGAAAACCAGGAATTAGGTTTTTTTTTTTTGTCGAGGAATAGATTTTATTAATATCGCATGAGTAGCTATATCTGCGGAGGTAGTGGATAATTATATGCTACGACAAATATCTCACAATAGGAGAACGCTAAACTTAATGACTTCATAGTATTCATTAGGCATCATTAAGAAAACCATCGGCATACAATGGCAGTTGACCCTTGACTCCATTATGAAATTTATGATTTTTTTTTCTAAGTAAATTAATTTAGTCCCAGAGATGCTGTTAGTTGAAAGTTTCTTCACCGATTCAATGAGTAATGCGACTACTACTAGCAGATTAGGGCAAAAATATCATATATCATGATATTTTGGGCCGCATCCACATTATCCCAGGAAAAGCGCATATCCAACCTTTTTAAATCGACATGGAATATTATGGAATGAACATATACTGATAAAACAAAAGAAAAATCTCTAAAAATATTAACCTGAAACTAGCTGCATAATTAATTAGTTCTGAAAAATCTTCCGGCAACTCCACAAATCCGTTTTCCAGAACTGGTTGCCGTACGAAACTTCTCCCAGACCTATCTCCTTGCGATGATGTCCATCTGAAAGACGAAAGAAAAGTTAAATTAAAAACTGATATTAAATGCTAATATATGCTCTATCCGTTGCTGGTATATTGCAGAAAAAAATATTCGTAATACACTAAAAGCCATGAAATGTCGTAAAAAACTAAAATAAGATTTGACAATTGAAACATTCCTTGATGTAACAGTAATTTTTCTTCAACAGGTAGTAAATTGATAAAAAATATGCAGATTAAGTTAAATAAGTAAGCTGCTTATATGTAATTAGTGCTACCTAATGACCACTGTTACAGATTGCCATAAGATTCAGCTTTCAAGTCCTATTACATTTGCCTATATACTCGTTATTTCATACGTCCTGGTATATTAGAAGTTTAATATAACTTACAATGTAAACAATTTCTCAACACAAGGACTACTGAAAAATTCGCCAAGACTAGGCGTGAAACCAAGATAACGACATAAAGGTTCAAATTCATTGACGAAAGGATCTGAAAAAGTGAAAACTCATTTCTTTTAACCGAAGATTTTTTTTTTTTGCGCAAAATCTGATCCAAAAATGAATTCTAATGCACACTGTTCAATATGTTAATGAAGTTCCTCTTCCTTATGTGGACAGAATTACAGCATGGTAGACAAGACTTGATCCTTCCTGATAAAAGATTAGGATGCCCATTGTTTCAAACCAGCTATTTTAATTTCACCACAACTTCTTTGTATATGAATGCGAAATATCACTGTGAATGAAGTGAAGTTTATATTTTAAAATATTACCTTTTAATGCCTCTGGTGGTGGCACAAGTGTAAGTGCATGATAAAGAAGTGATAATGGGCGCAGAAATTCAAGTACTGCCGTATGAAGTGTCTGAAAAATTTAACATCTTTAAAAAAATTGGAAATTCTACACAAACAAAGGACAAAAAAGCGCTTATATGTTTAGTTTTAAATACAATTTATATTTTGCTTCTTTCATAACATGACAACAAAAAGTTGGGCTGTGCGATGAAGAAATTTCGATAAAGAAATTCGTCTTCACGTAAACATATGCTTTTGAACTGAACAGAAATATAAATGAATATATTTTTTGCCTTTCACTAGACCCGGTATAACCATTATCTTGAAAATGCGAAGTGGTAATGATTGAACAATGTAGAAATATGGAGATAACACATTTCCGAGCATCAATAAAGAAGCAGATAAAACACTATCACAAATCAGTTGCGTAAAATTAAGCTTCGAACTATCAACAGCTTAATTAGCTGACTGATTAATGCAAATGGTAAAAAGTTTCGCATGGGTTTTTTTCCAGAAGATCAATGCCAAGGTTTTCTTGCGAACATTTATAATATACATCCCAAATGTATACTACTATGCATTACTGCACTATATGATAGCGATTCTAAAATGTCAGTATTACTGAAATGCGCAAACAAATGAAAAGAAAAAGTTTCAAATGAT